GCATTGGGCATTGGAGTTGACTCTGTCGCCATCTTCCTTGTTTCATCCACACTTTGATCGGGTGTCTCTAGATCAATCTCGATGGTGGGTTCTACTCGCTCCCCTTCCGTGCCCTCTTTCGCCCTGTTCTCCGCTGTACTCCTTGTGCTGACCATGTTAACTGAAAAGTTCGTCTTCGTTATCTTTGGGCCCGTTGATGTCGTTCCGCGCAGCGATGAATTATATTTCGTGTTTGATCCACTTGACCTTTTTTCGAGCACCGGTACCCTACTCCGCCTCATTATTTCTATTTACAACTGCTTCTATTTACAATTTTATTATATACACGATTCTATTCTAAGGGTAAAAAAAATATTTTTTTGTGGTAACAAATTCTGTACAACGTGTTAAAAACCTTATCCAATTCTCTTTCTAAAACCTCCGAAAAATTTTCCTTAATTTGGTCTTAACCCTACCTATTTCGATTTGTCTTATTCTGTCTTAAAACGCACTTGTTGTAATTTGACTTCAATTTCTATACCGTCCCAAGACTATTCGTCACTATCACAGTACTCTCCGTTAGTGTCCTAAGACCCTTGTACCAAGACCACTGTTCCAAGACTACTGTCCCAAGACTAGTGTCCCAAGACTACTGTCCCAAGACCAGTGTCCCAAGGCTAGTGTCCCAAGACTACTGTCCCAAGGCCAGTGTCCCAAGGCTAGTGTCCCAAGACTACTGTCCCAAGGGTAGTGTCCCAAGACCAGTGTCCCAAGACTACTGTCCCAAGACTAGTGTCCCAAGGCTAGTGTCCCAAGACTACTGTCCCAAGACTAGTGTCCCAAGGGTAGTGTCCCAAGACCAGTGTCCCAAGGCTGGTGTCCCAAGACTAGTGTCCCAAGACTAGTGTCCCAAGGGTAGTGTCCCAAGACCAGTGTCCCAAGGCTGGTGTCCCAAGACTAGTGTCCCAAGACTAGTGTCCCAAGACCACTGTCCCAAGACTGTCCCAAGACCACTGTCCCAAGACCCTGTCCCAAGACCACTGTCCCAAGACCCCTGTCCCAAGACCCTGTCCCAAGACCACTGTCCCAAGACCCTGTCCCAAGACCCTGTCCCAAGACCCTGTCCCAAGACCACTGTCCCAAGACCACTGTCCCAAGACCCTGTCCCAAGACCACTGTCCCAAGACCCTGTCCCAAGACCCTGTCCCAAGACCACTGTCCCAAGACCACTGTCCCAAGACCCTGTCCCAAGACCACTGTCCCAAGACCCTGTCCCAAGACCACTGTCCCAAGACCCTGTCCCAAGACCACTATCCCAAGACTGCTCTGTCCCAAGACTTCTTCGGTCTTGTCCCAATACTCGTCACGGAGTGTCTTCCTCGTTGTAGGGTCTTCTTGAACCACCGTACCTTGTACCACCACTCAAGCTCTAGTAAAATTTTCCCAAAAACCCTCTCTTAAAAGCCAAATGCTGACCCCCCTCTTCTTTTTGGTTGTTTCTATTTCAATGTAGGTGCGCAGGTATCTTGTGATCACCTGTTCGTATAAAACCAAACACAAATCCTCAATAAAATGCAACAAAAATTTTAAGTAAGAAAAATAATAAAAACAGAAAAATGAGCCCACCTAAAATTTAAAGGTGACCAATGTCTACCTTTCGTCTAAAAAAAATGTCTGGTACCTAATTGCCACGCGTTTTCCTCCCCCCACTAGTGATCTTATGGGGTATCACAAAAGCTGTCTATATCCGGTCCCCCCTACCAAACCAACCAGCGTACCAGCCTTAACCCGAGTTGGATTTTGGATCTCCACCTAATATTACCAACGCGTGTTAATTTCTAATGTAACTAAGTCAACGATGTCGACTAATTAGTTACTCTAATTTCCCCCTTTTTGCAATTTACAACCGCCAACCTCTAGCCTAACCAGTCCCCCTTCTAACCTCCCCCCTTTCTAGCCCCCCTTCTTAAGCCTAAAAATTACTTTAAGCGCCGGGTGCTAAACCTCTCAAGAGAAAACCGTAGACCTGTTTCCAGGCCTGCTCAAGTAAAAACGTTCCTCAAAACTGGGGGATTTCGCTTATCCAATTTTACACTTATCTCCTATAATGTAATGTGGATTCTAACGATACCCGTTCTGCCCAACTTGAGAACTCGAGAATTGCCAAATCCTTCTTGGCTGCTTTCCCACTCGACTGGTCACCTGTTCCAGTCCAGTCTCCTATTGGTTCAGCCAAGTGTCCCTGAACCACTTTCCCACTCGGCTGGTCACCTCTTCCAGTCAAGTCTCCTATTGGTTCAGCTCAAGTGTCCCTGAACCACTTTCCCACTCGGCTGGTCACCTCTTCCAGTCAAGTCTCCTATTGGTCCAGCTAAGTTCCAAGCTATCTGAAAACCCTTGACAACGCCCCACTTCGGGCACTTTATTCAGTTTACTGGTTTAAATTGCTAGGTTGATCGAAACGATCGAACTTGTAAAACAGTATGGGTATACTATTTAATTAATATAAAGGTTTGATCCAACTAATCTGGTGTCAAAGTCACTGTCTTTTTTCGTTTTATGGTTTTTGTTCCTTTTTCTATTCTTTTTTGGTTTTTGTTTTGCTTTTTGTCTTTTTGCTCGTGTTTTTGTCCCCCTAGTTGCCCCCCTTTACTCGGTTAGCTAAGCCTCGTTCGGAGAGCGTACCAGGAAATTTTCTCGAGTTTTCTTAAAAAGCTATCACGGTACAACCGGAAGGTTTGCACGTTCCTGTCGAACCGTACCGCCGGTACTCTAGAATGGGCATTCAGCCCGAAGCTGTCTCAAGTGGGTTCGACTCCGTAGTCTTGATGTCGTAAACACCCAGGAGCGCCATAAAAACACTATGTAACATTCGTCTACTGCAGTCACACATGAGGCTTAAGAAAAATAGGCCCTATAACCACTGGCTCAAGGGTCAGGGACACTATCTCTTGTGTTTTTCTACCTCAAGAACGGTCGGAGCCAGTTCGGTTCGCTTGTGACATGAGACTACGACCCGTTACAGCTTAAAGGCTACTACTAAAATATCCCCCCACTCTAGAATTAGAAACGTCCCCATACTTAGGTCTCTAGATACCCAAAATACATGAACGCCGTTAAAAACCGGGTTGGAACAATCCGTTAAGTTACTTTTTATTAGACAGTGGAACTTTGATCCATTTCAGATGGATCAACCTAAAACTCGCCTTACCTCAACATAACAATTATAAAACACACTCTAGAATTTAAATTAAGTACTCACATTGTAGCACGCTCAAGAACCAGGAAGTAAATAAGTCGGTAAACAACTCAAGAATTAATAAAGTAACTAATATGAGTTTAATGTTAGTCAGTTTCAACAACAAGAACAAGTTTTTACTCTAGACTGCAAGTTCTCGTGAACCATTGGGACACTCTAGCTGTCCACCTTTCCACCGAAGGTTCACTCTGGTCCAGTCAAGAATAGTATTCCAATCGTAATAATCCAACTCGAGGGAATGCTCTCGTCTCTGTCACAGATGGGACAGCTCTACTCTCGATTATTATAGTGATGGAAATTGCGAATAGCAATTTCCTACTGTTTTTTCTTGCGACTTTCCCGCGTGTGTGTCTTAATCGTTCTGAAATTGTTCTGAAATTGTTCTGATTTTCAGTTATCGCGAGAAAATCGTGCATGACATGTTCCATTCGAAATTTTGAAAAATTAAATTTCACTCCAAAATCAAGTGTTTTCTGCTCTTCTCAAGGTCAAACTTCCAAATATGACCGACTGGCACACCAGTGGTTATAGGGCCTATTTTTCTTAAGCCTCATGTGTGACTGCAGTAGACGAATGTCTACTGCAGTCACACTAAAATATCCCCCCACACATGAGGCTCAAGATGAGGCAGTCACACATGAGGCTTAAGAAAAATAGGCCCTATAACCATTGGCTCAAGAGTCAGGGACACTATCTCTTGTGTTTTTGTACCTCAAATCAGTCGGAGCCAATTCGGTTCGCTTGTGACATGAGACTACGACCCGTTACAGCTTAAAGGCTACTACTAAAATATCCCCCCACTCTAGAATTAATAACGTCCCCATACTCAGGTCTCTAGATACCCAAAATACATGAACGCCGTTAAAAACCGGGTTGGAACAATCCGTTAAGTTACTTTTTATTAGACAGTGGAACTTTGATCCATTTCAGATGGATCAACCTAAAACTCGCCTTACCTCAACATAACAATTATAAAACACACTCTAGGAATTTAAATTAGTACTCACATTGTAGCACGCTCAAGAACCAGGAAATAAATAAGTCGGTAAGAAACTCAAGAATCAATAAAGTAACTAAAATGAGTTTAATGTTAGTCAGTTTCAATAACAAGAACAAGTTTTTTACTCTAGACTGTGAGTTCTCGTGAACCATTGGGACACTCTAGCTGTCCACCTTTCCTCCGAAGGTTCACTCTGGTCCAGTTAATATTAGTACTCCAGTCACAACAATCCAGTTCGTGGGAATGCGCTCGTCTCTGTTTCAGATGGGACAGCTCTACTCTCGATTATTATTGCTACTGAAATTGCGAATAGCAATTTCCCACTGATTTTTCTAGCAACTTTCCCGCGATTGTCACTCGATCGTTCTGACTTCTCTTTTCTGATTTTCAGTTATCGCGAGAAAATCGTGCATGACAGGTTCCATTCGAAATTTTGAAAAATTAAATTTCACTCCAAAATCAAGTGTTTTTTGCTTCTCTCAAGGTCAAACTTCCGAATATGACCGACTGGCACACGAAAGCTGATCAAAAGTCGTTTGACTGATGGCCTAAAAATAGTAACTTTCTACTTAGCCCTAAACAGACCAGAAAATCAACTGGCAAGGTCGAGACGGTGAAAAACGAGTAGAATTAAGGTAACTGACGCCTGCCAGTCGTTAATAGGTACTTTTTCTACGCTCCGTCGCTGTGTAGTATTTGGGCGAATGTTACAAAATATAATTGATCAATTAATTAAATTAATTTTTCGTGTACTTCAGTTTCAGTCACGAGATGTCCAGCAATCTTTTACGATCAACTGCTAACAAATGTTCGCGGGCGGTTTGTTGTAGCCGCGGAATGGCTAAAGACATCAAGTTCGGCAGTGATGCGAGGACTCTGATGCTGCAAGGAGTGGATATTCTTGCCGATGCTGTGGCAGTTACAATGGGTCCAAAGGGCAGAAACGTCATCATTGAACAATCTTGGGGCAGTCCCAAGATTACCAAGGATGGTGTCACTGTAGCCAAGGGAATTGAGCTCAAAGACAAATTCCAGAATATAGGAGCAAAGCTGGTGCAGGACGTTGCCAACAATACAAACGAAGAGGCAGGCGATGGAACAACTACAGCAACAGTGCTGGCAAGGGCAATTGCCAAGGAAGGCTTTGAGAAGATCAGTAGAGGTGCAAATCCTGTCGAAATTCGAAAAGGTGATCTCGTTGAAAAAGTTTTTATTTATCTGACAAGTGTTGAAGTTAAGCTTGAACAGGCTGCTTGTCTATCCAGGTGTGATGGTTGCGGTGGACTGCGTGGTTGGTGCCTTAAGGAGTCAGAGTAAGAATGTGACAACTCCGGAGGAGATCAGCCAGGTGGCTACCATCTCTGCCAATGGAGACTCATCCATAGGAAAACTCATCTCACAGGCTAGTAAAGACTTATTTGCAGTGTTTGGGGGAAATGAAATTATTGCTTATTTCTTATTGCTTATTTCCTATTATTGCTTATTTCTTTCATTAACAATTTTGCAATTGATTTATATTTTGGAGTTGGAGCAGTTTTTGACGCCAATAAATTGTAATGCATTTTTAAGCTGGTCGTTTGTTTATCTGCTGAGTTATCATGAGTCATAAAACCGCTGGGTTTTCCAACTAATTTTTCAATGTGATAAAAAACATAGCTGAAATATTTCGAGGTGGGTTATCTTCTTATATATTAAATGAAAAACGGAATGCGCTATGGACACAATGTTTAACTGAACACAATGCTTAAGAATTATTAGGAGACAATATTTAAAAGGCTATCGAGCGTAACGTGTAAGAAGCATTCAGAGTAACCATCAGAAAAGTTTGAACTCTAACCATTTTCAAGGCTAGACAGTACCTGCCTGATTTTTGTCCAAAATTTCATTTAATTTATGTCTGGAACTGGGACTGTCGAAAGTTCAGTCTGGAACGAATCAATTAAAAACAGCAACCTCCATTTTGCGAGAAAGTTTTGCAAACCGATGTGGTCTATGAAATAAATGGAAGTTTTTCAACATTTCTTAGCTTGAAAAGCTTGCTAAGAAATACTTGCGAACCAATTCAGTCTATGAAATAACTCGGAAGAATTAAAGCTTCATAGCTTTAAAAGCCTGCTTAGAAAAACTGAAAGCTTTTCAAACCGATTCGATCGAAGAAATCACTTGAAATATTTCAAAGTTGTAGTAATTCAAAATTTTTGAACTAACTTGAATTATTGGACTTCTTCTGTTGTTGTGATAAATGTTGCCTAATTGTTGTGATAAACTTATTAAATAGATCTTTATGACAATGGCCACTGCGGATGTGTTAGTCTTAAGTCCTTTACTATAAAAAAGTGGCAGCAACCTTCCCAATGAAGTCAACGTCAAACTAAAGGAAACCTCAGATTACTTGTCGCTTAAAAAGCCTAATTGTTGTGATAAACTTATTAAATAGTTTCATGTGATATGATACGCTCATAATGGTACGCTTGTAAGAAAAAGGCCCGGTACGGGATTTTAGAGTCAAACTCGTCAAGCCGCGATACATCACCTCTACCCGGACATTCCCGCCGGAACCTCCACCCGTGAAAAACCAGGTTGTAATCGCTTTCATTTCTTTTTTATTTGTTTTTAAAATCCATTTCTCTACAATCCATTTAACAATCTATTCTTTCTCTTGTTTTGTCTCTTTTGTACCATGTTTAGTGAATGTCCGTGCCGAAGTACAGTCCGAAGTGGCTACCCAAGTGGAGCAGGAAATTGGTAAAAGGAATCTGAAGGACCAAGTACTGCAGCCCCAAAGATGTCGGAGCTTGTACAGAGGTGCAAAATTAGCCGACCTTGCGGCTACTGTCTCGCGCTACCCCTCGCAGAAACTGAACTGTGTTACTATATTACCCGGCTTTAATGATAACTCATCTACGGTTTCAGACTTTGCTAATGATTGGAGATTTTAAATAAATTTGATAATTCATAAGTTTTACCCAAATGTGCTTATTATCCCCAAAACCATCCTCTCTGCAAATAATCACTTCATAAACAGAAAACTTGGTGCTTTAAATAACTCTCTGTTTCGCCTTATTATAACATTTTACACTCAACAATTCGAATTATTTCCCCCAATCTAAACGTTAATTTTAGTTCTAATATGTTTTGTAAAGATGGTATTCATTTTTCTTTTTATGGTAATAAGTTTTTCAGTTTATTGCTCCCTCAGCTTACTTGTATACATTCACCATAAATTTACCCTCCTCACCGCCAAATTATGGCCGATCAAACGCACTGCCAGATTTGCAAACGCCACCTCCGAAAAGGAGGCATATGGCGTGTCATTCGGAAAGCATACATCCATGTCTCATGTAGCGAGCTACAGAGCAGCAAATTTTATTAGGATGGGTTCTCCTGCATACAATGCACTTGATAGTTTGCAAAAGGGCCTAAATCTACAAACAGACCAACAAGCACAGCCCCCATCACAACTCAAAAAGAAACATCACCGGCAACACCTGAAACAAACGCACTGCCCAACGCAATCACTACAGCCCCTTCGACCCCTGGAAACTTATCGACCAAGAACTTGAAATTTAAAAAAAATGACATATACAAAAATGTTGTTAACTGGAAACCGCGCCTTATAGTTCTAAGCAAGAGCAAGCCCGGTTTACAATTCATAGATTTACTGAAACAGTAGCTGTTGTCATTAGTAAAAGAAACACCAAATTCTAACGTCGCAATGAAAGCAGCAATGATTCTCCCACATCTGCTGCTCCCCAAAATTAAATCAGAAACAAACGGATCAAATTCCAAAACACTGAGCCGCCGCATAATTTAATGGAAGCAAGCCCTATTAGACGAACTTTTCACTGAAGCGAAAGCTCTCCAAATTAGACATCCAAAACAGAAGAAGTCCGAAGCGAACGAGGAAGCTAAGCAATTCGATAAACTAATGAGTACAGGAAAATATCTGCCGCCATTGGCTGCTTTTCAGACAAGAAAACAAAAGGAGTACTTCCCCTAAACGAAGTCATTGAAGAAAAAACAGTCCTTAATATCCAGAAAGAAAAACACCCCCAACCAAAACAGCGAACACTAACTATTTAACTGAATTAAATGAAGACACAATGCCATACCACCCCTCTATATTCGAACAAATAAACGCCAAGACAGTTCGAAAATCAACCATGAAAATGCACGGAAGCCACGGTCCCTCAGGTCTACATGCGTGCGAATGGAGAAGTGTATTAACTCACTTCAACCAGACATCCATTGAGTTTTGCAAAACAATTGCTAAACTATCCTATACAATAGCAAGTAAAGTTGTCCCTCATGGAAACTTAACAGCTTACAACGCGTGTCGCCTGATACCTCTGGACAAAAATCCAGGGGTACGACCCATTGGTATAGGCGAGGTTCTGAGTAGAATAATTGGCAAAACAATCACCCAATGTATAAAATCAGACCTTAAAAATCTTAGAAAATATTTCCAACTCTGCTTAGGCCAGAAGTGTGGAATCGAATATGCTATCCACAGCTTGAGGAAATAGTTTGAGAAACCGGAAACGGAAGCCATACTACTTATTGATGCAGAAAACGCCTTCAACTCGCTCAATGGAGAACTTGCTCTAAAAATGTGGAAATCCTTTGTCCGGCACTACATCATGCGCTGGCCAACTCATATAAACATCCCTCAAATTTTTATGTTAATAACACGGTTTCGACATCTACCGAAGGCACAACGCAAGGTGATCCCCTCGCAATGGCTATGTACGGAATTGGAATAATCCCACTGATTGAGCTCCTGCAAAAACCAAATGTCACCCAAAAATGTTACGCAGATGACGGAAGCGCTGCAGGTGATCTTAAGAGTCTCCGCGCATTACTAGACAACCTAGATATGCACGGAAAGGCTTTCGGATACAATATGAAGCCTTCCAAGTGTCAACTCATAGTAAAGGAAAACTGTCGTGAAAGCGCCATAAAGGTATTCGAAGGCACAAATATTAAAATGGTAGACGGTTTTAGAGTCCATGGATCGGTTATAGGAACACCATCAGCATGCGATAAGTATATCGAAAGCGAAATTGAAAAGACAGCTACCCTAACTGAAAAGCTTTCCAAAATAGCGAAAACATCACCACAAAATGCGTACTCCTGCTACACAAAAGGAGTTCAAAATAAATTAAGCTTCCTCACCAGAACAACTCCGGAAGCTTTTAAGAAAGTAGATGAAACTGAGAAAAACGTAAGACCGCAGCTACTTCCTAGTATTACTGGTAAAAACCATATAACCGATGAAGATCGCAACTTTTTTGCACTACCACTAAGAATGGGAGGATTAGACCTCCTGAGTAACACGGACTTTTCCAAAAACTATGAGTGGTCACGAGTCATTTGTGATCCGTTAGAAAACACTGATACAGAAATAGCTGAAACGGAACAAACTCTGATAAATAGAAACATCAAAACTGAGAAACAGAACATCACAATCTCAAAAAAGGCTAAAATTACGGAAAATTGCTCATCAGACAATAAACTGACAAAAATTCTAGCGTCACAGAAAGGAGCATCGAATTGGCCGAGCGTGCTCCCCCTAAAAAATACAATTTCTCCCTCAACAAATCAAAGTTTGAAGATGCATTACATCTGAGATATGGATGGGAACCACCAAACACCCCACATACATGCTCGTGTGGGCAACCGTTCACACTGACCCACTCCCTACACTTTCCCAAATATGGATACACTCACCTAAGCCATAATGAAATTCGCGATACCTTTGCGACACTCCTGGACGAAGTATGCCATGCTGTTGAAATAGAGCCGAAACATCGTTGGAAGGCGAAAGCTTTCACAAAACAACCACTACTGAAGATGACGCTCGACTTGACATCAAGGCAAATGGACTCTGGGGAGGCCGATTCAGCCGAACCTTTTTCGATAAAAAAATTTTCAACCCCCATGCTAAATCCTGTCCTAAAACTATATCTGACGCCTACAAATATCATGAGTGTCAGAACATTAAAATACCAACAAAGAATTCTGGATGTGGAACAGCAGCATCTTTATTCCACTAATTTTTGCGTGTACCGGAGGAGCAGCGCCGGGCTCTACAAAAACCGTCCAGAAACTAGCAGAGAAAATAAGCGAAAAACGGAACGAATCATACTCGGACACAATTAACTATATAAGAACAAGAATAAGTTTTGCACTTCTGAGGAATGCAATCCTCTGCTTTAGGGTGTGCAAAAAACCTAAAAATGCATCCAACATAGACAATTCTATCTGTGCTGTAATCGAGGAGGGTAGATTTTAATTGACAATTCTTTTGATGCATTAAAGTAGACTCGATTTTATTCATAAAATTTTGTCGATTTATTTATATAGCGTTGGTATGGCCCTATCCAACCTGTGCACGTACCGTCGCATGACGGAAGGGCCCATTTAAATTTACCTTTTTTTTAAAACTAACTTGAATTATTGGAAGTTCGATAGCTTAAACAGCTTGCTTAGAAAAATTTAAATTTTTCGCGAACCTTTTCAGTCTATGAAATAACTGGAAATAATTCAAAGTGTCATAATCATAGGTTGCTCCGAAAAGCTTATACTTTTCGCGAAACCAAATCAGTCTATGCAATAACTTGGCTTAAATAGCTTGCATAGAAAAACTTGAATCTTTTGCGAACCAGTTGGCTCTGTGAAGTAACTTGAAATATTTCATTTCATAGCTTGAATAGCTTACTAAAAAACTCTTACTTATAAAAGAGTTTTTTGCCAATTGATTCGCTCTATGAAACCACTTTTGAAATATTTCAAAGTTTCTTTGCTGGTAACTCTTGATCAGAACACCAACTATTTTTTTGCGAGCCAATTGATTATTGGGAGGCGGGCTTGCTAGTTTCTTAAGCAATACAGAATATATTATTCAAATCGAACTTTAGCGGATAAAGCTTTCTAAGGATTCAGTTGAATGTGAGTACCCATGCTATTAGCCAGGGTTTGACCAGCGTCCATCATTTTTTGCACAGGATCAATAATCTCGAACACGTTCAAAGCAGTTACATCCAAATAACGGAGTCCCCGCCTTTTTCAAACTTTGATTTCAGTAACAGGCATTGTTTCCATGATCCAATAAGCCTGCCGATGTTAAAGTGTAATACATGTCTGGTTGATCTCTAGTTATTGCAAAGCTAACCACTTATCAATTTAATGTGAGCTTGTCTGAAAATAGTGCAAACTTTAGTGATTTTGATGACATGTGTAGGCGATGGAGAAGGTGGGTAAGACTGGTGTGATCACAGTGAAGGATGGCAAGACTCTCTCGGATGAGTTGGAGGTCATCGAGGGTCTCAAGTTCGACAGGGGGTACATCTCGCCCTACTTCATCAACACCCCAAAGGGTAACTTGTTCTAACCAGTCACTTTTTCACTGGGCTAGGTGACGAAGGACGAGTGGTGTTGCTTCAGTTGTCGCCATACTAGTGCTAATGTTGCAAAATACCCTTGCGATTAAAACGGTGTAAATTAAATCGACGACTTTGAAGAAAAAAATCACCATCAAAAAATTATCTAGAAATTTTTTTATTTTACATAGAATTCTAACCATCATATGTATAATAAAAGAATTTGTAGATAATTTTTTGTTGATGGTTTTTTTCTTCAAAGTAGTCGATTTAATTTACACCGTTTTTATTTCCGAATTGAGTGTACCACTTTGCTCTTACACTAAGTGTATAGCACTCGGGCGGTTCATGTAATTATGTACAAAAGGTTTTGTTAGACGAAAGTTTTCGGTTGACTTTCAGCTTATTCGGTGTCGAATTTTGTCTAATATTTGGTTTCCTAATTCTCCGTAGTTATTTTTGAGATCGAGAATACTCTGAACATAATTATCCAAATGCTCAAATTCAAACACACAAGGGCCCTCTTCTAAATATACATCAATAATTTTAAACATAAAAAACTTCTTAGTTTTGGTTTGATGGTAACATCGGTCCATATCATCTTTGCTTTTTCGTGAGCGTCATTCCGTTTTTTTAATTTTATTCTTGTTGGATTGCAAATGGCGCGAAGCTGAGCTTCGCTTCAATGAAAAAATTAATTTCACAGTGCTATCATACTCCTATAAATCAAACAATAACAACAACGTCAATTGAAATTAATTTCTGTTCATATCAGTAGGAAATATGCAAGTTTTCAACAAAAATCAAACGATAGCTATTTTCGATCTCTATGTTCATATTTCAACTATTGCAGTGATTGGCTAGTTGTATTTACTGTGAATGTCGATTACTTTAGTAGCTGTGTGTGTAATATTGAAACGTGGGCGATGATACGTTGTCGATGTGCTTGTGCATCGTTAGTTTATGATTGTGGCCGTGTATTTGAGCGTGTATTGTTGTTTAGGCGCGAAGTGTGAGTTCCAGGACTGTCTGATTCTGTTCAGTGAGAAGAAGATCTCCTCGGTGCAGTCTCTCATCCCTGCCCTGGAGATGGCGAACCAGATGAGGAAGGGACTGTTGATTGTGAGTGAGGATGTAGACAGTGAGGCCCTCACCACTCTAGTCCTCAACAGACTCAAACTGGGACTACAGGCTAGTACACAACTCACGCTACTACACATAAAAACTCCTCAAGTCCTCACTGCTTCTTTTTACTTTTCAAATTGAAAACGCGCAAAAAATAGAATTCGTTTCAGAATTTGTCAAGTATTTCCAATTCGATTCATACGAAGCACAACCTTAAAGTTACGAAATAAGTTCCTATTGCTTTTGGCTCAGAAGCAGGATTAGGACGTGGAACTTAGAAGTAGCTTCAGACTCCCGCAACAATACCAGCAATCTTGCCGTCGAAATTAAATCCCCGTATCAAGTCTCAAGACAGCCAAAATAAGCGAATGACGTTAAAAACAAGGCTAGATGACTCTTTTGATAGATATTTTTTCTGTGCAGTTGTTTCTCACGTATCCCATCAGCATAATTCGAAGTGACATTTCTCCAGATTATCAATTCAGAACTTGGCACTAAAGGATGCAACTTATAAAGGTGTCAAGCATGCCTTGCTCTTGAAGTTTAAGAGTCTTAAAGCTACATTGTTTTTTTCTCCAACAATCGAAAGCTGGAGAATATTCAAAAAATAGTCAGCTTCTAAAAATTTTTTGTTCCGACCATGCAAATAGGGAGGAATGTTGAATTCGAGTGTTTTCACGTAAAATCAGGCAACCCAGTGTCGAGAAAAACCGGTTTGAAATTTTGAGTTTTAGTCTAATATCGGTCGAGTAGAACGCTCGAGTAATGTCGTTATCTGAAAATTTTAAGCTAAGAAAACTTGGCTTTCAAAGTTATGACGTTTTGAAAGTATAGTAAAAAATAGTTTTGGAAAAAAATGCTTCTGATTCTTTTCTTCATTTTTTGGTCTAGTAATGTCAATTATGCCTTATCCACCAATTTTCTACTCATTTGTATAGTTTTTTAATCATGTCGCGTACAAACAACGACTTTCAATTGAAACAGGGATAGCCTGTAAATTATTAGTTCAAATTAAAGGCGTTTCTTGTGCGTGGTGTGATGAGAAAACTATAAACTCGCGTAGAAGTTCAGAAAATTGAACAAAAAAGAAAAAAAAACAAAACAAGACTGCAAGTACAGGGCGAAGCCCTGAATGTTCCGACTACCTTTTAATGTTTATGGAACAGTAATAACATATAAAAAAATAAATGAATTATAACAAAATAAAATTTTTATTTTCTAAAACTTGAATTTTTTAATGAAAATCATCACCCCACACGCCATATAAAGTATAAAAGGATAGATTTCGCTCCTTTTAACAAATCAGTTATGGCAAATAAGCTTCTTTCAACCAATTTGGAACGATTTCTAAGACGGAATAACTCTCCGCTTACGCGTTAATAGCGCGAAATATATCGCGCGTTAATTGTCCCAAATTGGCCAAAATGGCTATCTTTAAACCCCCGTAACTTTAGGAAAAATGATCACAGGTGAAATATCTTTTCAAATTTAAGCTCAGGACAACAATACCTTTCGAATGATATTTAAAAATTCCGTCAAAAATGGCTAGTTAAAAAGTCGAAATTTGTCTGAAGAAAAAAAAACCCACCCCGAGCACAAATATTCCGTTACTTTCGTATCGAAAGTCGGAACAAAAATGAAAAAAATATATATTATTTTCTTTTTTCGAACAATATTTTTATAAATTATTTGGAAAACTTTTCTTGCCTGGGAAAAGCAAGATGGAACTTCTAAAATTAATTTTCGTGTAGAAAAGTTTGGTTATTTTAAGCTAAGTGACCAATTTAATGATTTATCATTACTTGATTAGTTCGCTTTGTTCGCTCCAAATTACATATGTTTCTTGCGTTCATTACTCTTTTCCAGCTGTCAGTTGGCTATGTTTTAATGTGACAATGTGAACAAATGATGTATTGCTCAATTTAGCCGATGGAAGAAAGAGAAAAGCCGACCTGAGGATCGATTCGAGTCGAGGAAAGATTCCCAGTTTTGAAGGCTTATTAGGAGTAATTAACGTAGTGAAGACTCTTATATAGGTCTTGCTGATTTTTTTTGTTGTTTTTTTAAGGAAAAGTCTCTAATAAGTACAGATGTGCATTCATACATATATGCATTTATGAATCCACTTAGGTTTATATGCACTTTTTGAGTTCAATGGAAATTCATCTGCTGAAAAATACGTAAATAGCACTCTCTAAATACGAACGTGGAAATGGCGCAAAAAAAACAAACAGTTTTTAGTTAGGAAAACATTTATTTTTAAATTTTCAGCAGAATAAAAACTTTTACCAATTGACCTAGTTTTTTCAAATTGGTTTAATTTTATCGAAAAAAAACGCCAATCATAAATTGTTCCAGAAATTCGAAGAGCAACTATTTTTTTCTTTAAAACTCGCAAGTTGAGATTTTTTCAAGAAAGTTAGAGAGCTTGAGGTGTGTATAAATGCATGTTTGTGACTGTGTGTAGGTGTGTGCCGTGAAGGCGCCTGGCTTTGGGGACAACCGGAAGAACAGTCTGAAGGACATGGCGATAGCGACAGGGGGGGTGGTGTTCGGGGATGAGGCACTGGAGCTGAAGATGGAGGACATCAAACAGCAGGTAAACACAAACAGAAACACACACCTATTTTCATATCTTGGCAGATGCACAGCCTCTGAAATAATCACATGCATTCATTGCACATTTTTAATAAAATGAGAGTTCATCGTAGAGTTCACACAGTTTGGAAGGAAGGATTGGCGTTTGTTTTAGTTTGTTGACTTTTGAGACTAATAAGATATTGGTCAGCGGGAGGGCCTTAAGAACAGTTCATTTGGTGCTCAGATATGCCTAATGGACTTGATGTGTTGTGTATTATGTGCTGTATGTATCTTGAATGTGTGTGCATTTGTGCTGCAGGACTTTGGAGTGGCGGGCGAGGTAGTGGTGACTAAAGACGACACTCTCATTCTGAAGGGGAAGGGGGAGGAGGCGGCTATTAGGGAGAGGGTGGAGGAGATCAGAGACCAGCTGGACAACACCACCTCCGACTACGAGAAGGAGAAGCTGAACGAGAGATTGGCCAAACTGTCCGACGGAGTGGCATTGCTCAAGGTAACAAACAACTCCCAATTCACATGTAGACAGTGGCAAACAATTATTAGGCAACATCTTCCAATCTAAAGATCATCTGACCTTGATGTGACAAATTATTTCGAATCAGTTCTTCCAGTTTCGCAGTTCCTTTGCTGCTGTGTTATCTTGTTTTTGCTGTGGAGTTTTCCGTGGCAGACCTGTGTCAAATGAACAGTCTCTTAACGTTACTCGGAAAAGCGCAATTGTTTTGCTCAGCCTCTTATACTATTCCAAATGTATTTGCACTTGTGACCGAAGTACGAACCTTCTTTTTTTCTAACCTAACTCGCAAATAAAAGTGTTCACTTATTTAGTGGCACTTTTGCTATAATGACATCTGTATCATCTGTTCTCTGCTTTTTTTGCGGCTAGTGTTTGTGATCATTCTTGCGATAAGCAAGGGTATTGTAATCGGGTATTTAACTGTTTGTTTTTCACCGTAAACAATTTCTAGTTTTTCATGACATTAACTTCCCTTTAGTCTTAAAAATTTTTGATTTTTTTTGTTTTTTTTGGGCTTGATAGATTTCGCCCTGATTACATCGGCTTAGCCGACACATGTTGCTTCGTTTACCGAGCTGTTTATGTGTTTTGAGGGTCATGGGGACTTTTTAGTAGTCTTAAATTTTTTGTTGGGCTCAATAAGTGTCGGCCAATGTTGTTATATTGGCACAGTGTCCGCATACTGTTTCATTTGACGCGTGAATAAAGTTTGTGTGTGTTTGTATGAGTGTTTTTTTGTTTGTTTGAGGGTGGCTGGGACTTGATAATTTAAAAAAAATTTCGGCCTAAAGGGTTCCTGCTAAGGTATTTCCGGCTTTGTTACCGTGTAATAACTTTTCTTCGATGTTAGTTTCGCATTCTATTGTATTGGCTCGTTCTTGTCTCAAAACTAGCTCAATCGGTAGATCTAAATTGAAATGTTCTGATTTTTTTCGACTTGTATCGCAAATGGTGCGAAGCACAGCTTCACCTCTGTGTCAAATTTCTTAGCGATCTCGTCAAACTTACCCTGGAGGTAAAGAATGTTTCTGAAACGTTAAAAATCCTGGGTTCGAATCTGACCAGGACCTGTGTTTTTATTTAAACGGGCAATATTCAGTTTTAAATAAGATTGTCGGTCCATTATTTGTATGCTTAATTGTTGTCGGCTTAGTTGTCACATCTTAGAATAGTTTCTTTGCTGCGCGCAGTTTCCTTAAATGTTGATTGTAGTGTTCGATTTACTCCTATTATTTGTAGTTTCACTTACTTTGACTTCGTTTTCCTTGGTTTTTTTTGTTACTTAAAAATTTTCTGCGGCCCAAATTATTCCGGCCTAATTTTAGCGGCTGAATGACCCAATTTTGGGTTGTTTCATTAGAAATACAATTTTAATAATCCCCTCCAGACTTTATTACTCTCTCTGCAAGCTGTATGTCAACCAATCGGCTTAATGAAATGCTTTTTTTTTCGTTATGGAAATTTTTTTTTCACTTTTTCCAAAGTTTTTAGTCCTTATCAGAAACTTCTACTGATTCTCAAAAAGTAGTATCAATTGAAAGACCGCCCACTCCCCTGTGTTCCTGCATATTCCCCTAGAATCTCTTTTTTTCTTGGCCTCTCTGCCTACCTACAGCCTTCGGAAAATTCTGTAGGGGAATATTTGTTGCATGTTTGATTTTTTTGTTTTCTCGAAAACTACTAGAACCTATTCAAAAAAGTACCCTGCTTAAGCGGCTACGCTCGAATTTTATGGTCCTTTGAATGGTCAAGTTTTTGTTATTTTGACCGTTTTTTGAATCTTTTTGACTTTGCTCAAAAACTAACGTCCCAAATGTAAAATTTGTGGGCCCCATGGAGATAACAGTCAGTGGGAAGTTCGCCGGCATTGGCGGCCATTCATAATTTCTTTAAAAAATTTAATCGCTCTCGGAAAAGTTAGTTTTGATTTTTTGACCGCTTTTTCTCAAACTAACCGGCCCTATCTGAGACTTCAATCCGAAGATCGGGTTGTAGGAAGCTCATTTGCTCATTCAACTATGACAGCATTTTTTGACACCTTATGTTATGACCTTCGTGAAACCTAAGTTTTGATTTTTGATCGTTTTGTTTAAAATTTTGACTTCACTCGTGCCCTACCATCCCAAATCTGAGATTTTGGAGTCAATCAATTGAAAAAACCGGTTGCGAGATTTGTTCCTGCAGGGGCGGTGACTTCTTTTTTTTGTAAGCTAAATTGTGTGTCATTGGAAAACAGCAAAGCTTTTGGGAAAAGTCCAATTTTTAAAATAGACCATTTCATCCCGCATCAGAATAACAAATTTTTACAAAAACGAACTAGTACTTCCAGCTTTAGCTGGGGCCACTAGTTTTTTAAGAGTAATGAAAGTAGTGAAGACTATTATATAGGTCTTGCTGATTTTTTTTGTTTCATTTGAAAAATTTTTAAAATATTGATGCATTTAAGTATAATGCTTTTTTGAGTTCAATTGAAATTCATTTGCTGGAATGACGTAAATAGCATTCAGCAAGTACGAGCATGGAAATGGTGCAAAAAAAACGAAATGGTGCAAAAAAAGTTAACGTTTTCTAGTTTCTAAAGTGGAATTTAATTTATAGATTTCCAGCAGAATAAAAACTTTACCTATTGATCTAGTTTTCTCTAGTTGGGTTAAAGTTATCAAAAAAGTGCCAATCATAAATTGTTCTACAAGTTCAAATTTCGTATTTTTCCTCAAAATTTGAAAATTGAGATTTTTCCAACAATGTCAGTGTTTTTTTTGTTTACTTGCGCTCATTACTTTTTTCCAATCTTCGATTGGCTATGTTATCGAGACTATGTTTTGGTTCACCTATTTTCTTTTCAACATTTTAATTTTTTTCGTCGGATCTTTTTATGCTCGTTGTATCGTAAGTAGTGCGAAACTACGCTTCGCCTCTGCGTTCGTTTTTCTGGTCAAATTGTTTCAATTATGCCTTTTCCACCATTTTTCTACTCTTGTATAGTTTTCTCATCATATCGCATACAAACGACGACTTCAAATTGAAACAAGGATAACCGGTAAAATACAAAATCAATTTAATCAGTTTTTACTCTAGCGAGCTTGCGAGCGTAAAATTTATTAGTACGAGCCTTCTTTTTTCTAACCTAACACGGAAATAGAAGTGTTCATTAATAGTGTTCGCCTATTTCTTGGCACTTCTGCTATCATCACTATCTGTATCGGTGAAAATTTCATAGCATCTGTTCTCTGCCTCTGCTTTACATATGGCTAGTGTTTATGATTTATTAAGTCTCCGTTGCTGAGTGGTTAGTGCATTAATACGAACTTTCTTTTTTTCCAACCTAAGTCGCAATTATTGGTGCCACTTTTGGGGCATATTTACAGCTTTTTCATAGCTTTTACATTCAAGTAGTAGTAATAAGTTAACACAGTTGGTTCATTTTGATTCATCAAATGAACCGAAAGAAGTGATTTGTTTCAAACAACAACAATAATGAAAACTCGATTTCAGAAATTTTCCAACTCAATATCTCGCAATTTTTTGAAATGCATTATTTAATCAAATTTATGGCTTTCTGATTTGCAATTTTTTACAAGCAAAGTTAGTGTGGATGCCCTCAGTTTGTTAGATTTCAAATTATTATTTGCAAAGTTGAGTCTATTTGTTTTTGGTGCCACTATTGGTGCATTGCATTGGCAATTGTTTAGCATATGTAGCTGCTTTATTCGTGACTAGTGTTTGTCGGTTGTTAAGCTTGCGTGGCTGAGTGGATAGTGCGTGAGACTCAAATTATCTTGATTGCAGTAGGTCGCAGTTCGGAATCCTACACGTACGCGAGATTTTGATAACTTGGGGCTTATTTCTACTTTTTCTTGTTTTTTTTTGGTAGAGCTGCTTTTTGGCCGTGTTCTTACAACTGTTTGCTCAGCGCAGCTTCGCCTCTGTGTTGACAAATGCAATTGTTGTTTTTTTTCTGTAAGTTGCAATTAAGTAATCTGAAACTGCTCATTTTGATGTTACTCAATGCAGTTATAGAAAACCGTTTTGAACAAGAATATAACTAGAGTACATGCAGTGTGTGTTTGACAGATTAAGTTGCTCAAAGTGGCCGATACTCTATCGTTTAATTAGATACACTCTTAAACATGTGTGCTGTTAGCGTTTATGTGTGTGTGTGTGTGTGTGTATGTGTGTCTGTAACGTGTATGTGTCTGTGTAGGTGGGAGGGTCGTCGGAGGTGGAAGTGAATGAGAAGAAGGACAGAGTGACGGATGCTCTGAATGCCACTCGTGCAGCCATAGAAGAGGGCATAGTGCCGGGGGGAGGAACAGCACTTCTCAGGTCCATACCCGCCCTCGATACCCTCATCCCCCTCAATGAGGACCAGAGGATGGGGTTCGACATTGTGAGACAGGCGCTGAAGAAGCCGTGCGAGACCATCGCCAGAAACGCCGGAGGTACTCAACCATTAATGTTCAATACTCTCTCTCTCTCTCTCTCTCTCTCTCTCTCTCTCTCTCTCTCTCTCTACGCTATCTGAAATTGTGTTGCGTTGTTCTCAGAGTTTTTAAGAGTCGATCAACATAGTTCAGACTCTTGGACTGACTGTTCGCGATCATTTTTTTTTTTTTTTGGCTTAAAATTACTGTTTTGCGGTTTGACTTTTGATTTCTTTTTATAATCATTATTATTAAAAGGGATTCAAACTCAACTATCAAACAGCAAAATTGTGATCGACTTCTAATTTTGAAAATGGAAATTAATTATCGGATTTTTCAGCGGAATACAATTTTACGTATTGATCCAGTTTTTTCAAATTGTGCCAATTTTGTCAAAAAAGTGCCCATCGTAAAGAATTTTAAGAGCATCCATTCTTTCTTCGAAATTCGAAAATGAGTCAGTGTTGTTTTTCTGTTCAGTTGCGTTCATTTACTCTTTTCCAACTGTCTGTTGGCTCTTTTCTAGATTTTTGACGATGTGTTGGGATGAAAATCTAAAGTAGTTTGAAGTAGTAGTGATGTTGATGCAGTTTGAACTACAGTTGGAGTGATGTGGTTGTGTTTGTTTAGTGGAAGGCAGTCTGGTGGTGGAGAAAGTATTGAGTCATCAAGGGGAGGGGAAGATGAGTAGTTGGGGCTATGACGCCCTCACGGGCGAGTACAAGGACCTCACTCTGGCGGGCATCATAGACCCGACTAAGGTGGTGAGGACGGCACTGGTGGACGCAGCCGGAGTGGCCTCCCTCCTCACCACAGCCGAGACAGTGATCACAGAGTCCCCCAAGGACAGCGAGAAAGAGGGGGCAATGGGTGGGATGGGGGGCATGGGTGGGATGGGGGGCATGATGTAGAAGATCCAACATCCTCTACAACCCTCCGAGCTCCCTCTCCCTTTTCTCTCTCTCTCTCTTTTTCGCTCTTGACAACTGGACTGCCTCATTCTACACTTGACCTCAAATTGGATTCGCTTCAAACTGAAAACAAAACAGAAACTAAGCCAAAATGTACCTAATGTAAAACATAACATGACATCTATGAACAAGATTTTTGCGAATTGAGTTCTCCGAAAAAACAGAAAGAATGATGAACTGACTGATCTTTATGGGAAGTGAATTCCTCTTTTGTCTACGTGGTAAATGCAGTTGCATTGAATGCATACCATTATATTAAGTGCAATTGAAATGGTTGGACTCATACGATAATACACTGGACAATATATGTGAAAGAAGTTGTAAATGGATTGATTTTCTGTATTTGGACTTTGTTATTGATAATGATGCTGAAAAAATAAAGAGAAGATATGTTTTCTCTGACAAGCATGGCTCTGCTCTCACTCAAACATACACATACTGCTGTATCATTGTCTGTTTTGTGTGCGTGAGTGTCTTCGCTTCTCTCTCTCTCTCTCTCTCAGTGAGCTACTACATGAAGATGAAATGTAATTCTACTTCTTTCTGACGTGTAGATTGAAGACGAGGAGGATAATTTATTTTTTCCACTTCTACTTTTCATTCTCACAAGCAAGGTGTGTGTCAGAGTATGATGTCTTTTTTTCCAATGTAATAGCCGTTTTTTGCAAAGTTCAAACGCTTATTTTTGGGGGAAAAAGCTCAAAATTTAATCACGACTACCAGCGGATTTAGAGTTGTGGGTGGGGTCGTTGCCCCCCCCCCCTCATGGTTTTAAATTTTTCTAAAAGAAAATACTGGAATGAGGAATTTCTGAAGGAATAGTCTAAAATATACTGATTTACAGAGGAGCTGTTTTGATTTTTTGCTCTTTGACTTGATTTCTTTTCAAGTTCATTTCAAATTCATATAGTCAAAGGAAAGAAAATTCCGCTATCCAATAAAAAATAACTGAATGAATTCTAGGTTCGAAAAAACATCCTAATTATAAGATCACCCAGCGGAATGAACCAAATTACCGAAAGATCCAGTCTCTCTTATCGACTTTGGTCTAGGCCTTGGAGCGGTTAATTTTTTCTTAACCGAAAATAATTTTAAAAAATTGCTCACATGATACAGAAGCGCCCCGTTGCCTCCAGACAGGGTGAAGGACTTCCGACATAGCTGACACTCAGCCGATTTGTCGTTGACTTTGAAATATTTCCACACGCAACTCTACATTTTCATCTGAAAAGGTAAAATGTAACTTAGTAGTATGATAGGAAATCTAATAAAATGTCTCTAATTTGGTGTGCATTTCCATCGGTTAACCGGTTAATGATAAGTTAACCGGTTAAAATAAATTAACCGATTAACAGCTGGTCTGTGAAAAAATTTAATCAAAACAACATTTTTGAAATTCGTAGAGCTATTGTGATGTATTTTATTTTCAAAACTTATTTTTTTAAAAAAAGTTATATATTGAAAGATGTTATATATTTTTCTTGTATATCTGAGTTTTTGGACAGTTTTCCGATGGTAAGTTTGCCTAACATTGTCGGCTTTGATCAAGGCCCTTTCCTTACTGCGAGGTAGTTGACGTAGCGTTGAAAAAATACTCATGCAACTAAAGTGACGGCTCTTTTGCTGCCTCTCATTGGCAATTCAAAATTCAATGTACTGAAGCGAAATTTTTTAACTTCAGTTTTCAAACAAAAAAACCAACGGATTTGTTTTAACGTTTATGCCGTTTTCTATACTATTAATCAAGATTCACGGTCGATTATTTGAAGGCACCGTTTGGCCTCTTAGTTAAAAGGTGACAGAGAAATGTGCTTAAAGCCAAAAACTCATCGTAAACAGCAAAAACAGTTTGAAATTTTAGAACTAAAAAATCCGTTGGAGATCTAAGAATCTCAGCATTTCTGTTGCCCTTCAATTAAGTGGCCAAAAGGGGCCTTGCAAACAAATTTCCATCTTATGTCATCTTTTCAACCGTGAATCTGCTAGTTGTAGAGAAAACAACGCAGCGCGTACGTGAAAAAATTTGGTTCATTTTCTCGCTCAGAAAAAAAAAAATGGAACTTCTATGTCCCGTGACTATAGCTGCTTTTTTTAGCCATACTGTTTTTTCAAGCGACCGTAGGGCAGGTGCGAGGACGTGAGACTCCTAATCTCCAGGTCGGAGGTTGAATTTTGAGTTATTCAAGCAAGCGTTCGGGCGTAGCGTTACTTTTTCTTTCTTTTGAAAGCCAGAACATATAAATTAACGCAAACTTTTAGGGCACTCATGATGCATAAAATTAAGCAATGGAGTTTATTAATGGATCCTGTAAAAGGTAAAATATAACTTAGTAGTATGATAGGAAATCCAATTAAATGTCTCTAATTTGGTGTGCATTTCCATCGGTTAACCGGTTAATGATAAGTTAACCGGTTAAAATAAATTAACCGATTAACAGCTGGTCTGTGAAAAAATTTAATCAAAACAACATTTTTGAAATTCGTAGAGCTATTGTGATGTATTTTATTTTCAAAACTTATTTTTTTAAAAAAAGTTATATATTGAAAGATGTTATATATTTTTCTTGTATATCTGAGTTTTTGGACAGTTTTCCGATGGTAAGTTTGCCTAACATTGTCGGCTTTGATGAAGGCCCTTTCCTTACTGCGAGGTAGTTGACGTAGCGTTGAAAAAATACTCATGCAACTAAAGTGACGGCTCTTTTGCTGCCTCTCATTGGCAATTCAAAATTCAATGTACTGAAGCGAAATTTTTTAACTTCAGTTTTCAAACAAAAAAACCAACGAATTTGTTTTAACGTTTTTGCCGTTTTCTATACTATTAATCAAGATTCACGGTCGATTATTTGAAGGCACCGTTTGGCCTCTTAGTTAAAAGGTGACAGAGAAATGTGCTTAAAGCCAAAAACTCACCGTAAACAGCAAAAACAGTTTGAAATTTTAGAACTAAAAAATCCGTTGGAGATCTAAGAATCTCAGCATTTCTGTTGCCCTTCAATTAAGTGGCCAAAAGGGGCCTTGCAAACAAATTTCCATCTTATGTCATCTTTTCAACCGTGAATCTGCTAGTTGTAGAGAAAACAACGCAGCGCGTACGTGAAAAAATTTGGTTCATTTTCTCGCTCAGAAACTAAAAAATGGAACTTCTATGTCCCGTGACTATAGCTGCTTTTTTTAGCCATACTGTTTTTTCAAGCGACCGTAGGGCAGGTGCGAGGACGTGAGACTCCTATTCTCCAGGTCGGAGGTTGAATTTTGATTTAATCAAGCAAGCGTTCGGGCGTAGCGTTACTTTTTCTTTCTTTTGAAAGCCAGAACATATAAATTGACGCAAACTTTTAGGGCACTCATGATGCATAAAATTAAGCAATGGATTTTATTAATGGACCCTGTAAATATACTTTGCCCAAAAACGAAAACTTGCTTTGCATACTTCTTTGCCCAAACATACTTTGCCCAAAACAAAACGAAAACTTGACGCGCAGAAAAGGAAATGTTTGAGCCTAATTTTTCGAATTCGTAAGTACATGCATGCAGCAAATAGGAGAATCCGTTTATGGTTGGCTTCAAATATTTATGTTTTAAAGGAAAGTCGGATGGCGCTACGGACATAATGTTTTAGTTTTGTCGAATGAAACGTTTAAAAACTTCTTCAGGCTTAACGTTTAAGAGAAAGCCAAGAATATTCTGGAATTTTCAGTATTTCTGTAATCTGGATTATTCTAGAAATATTTTTGACAAAAATTTAATTCCTTAGACAAGATGGACTCAATTCATCTTAAAACTACAACCTTCTTGCTAGAAATATTACCTGTTTGCAAACTGATTTGCGCTGTCAAATGTTTTGAAATATTTCAAAGTTTCATTGCTTGCATTGATTGCTTTAAAAAAAACATACTTTTTTCGCCAATCGACCTGCAACTCAAAATTTCATTGCCTCAATAGCTTGCTTATAAAAAATTGAAACTTCTCGCCAGTCGCTTTATTCTATAAAACAACTTACCATATTCCAAAACTTCATCACATGAATAGCATGCTCAGAAAAACTTTGAAAAATATCAAGCTTTTTCATAGACCATATCGTTTTGCAAAAAATTTAAATTTTTTATAGCAAAACTAATCGCAAACTTTTAGACAAAATTTCTCGAACCAATTTGCCTTTTGAAAAAATCTAAAATATTTCAAAGTTTCAAGGTGGGATAGCCCTATTAGCTTCGTTAGCTTAAACTTTCCGCGAACCGATTCGGACAATTTGAAAAAAAAACTAAGTTTCATAGTTTGATTAGCTTGCTTAGACAAACTTAAAGCTTTTCGCGTACTGTTTCGTTTTATAAAAGATTTCAAAATTGCATAGTTTTTGCTCGCTCTAATCTCCCAATATCTCAAAAAACCTAAAAATAATGGAAGGACACATTTGAATTACAAACAATTATTTCTCCGCAAATAACTCTGCTTAACGAATAATGTGAAGTATACTGAATCTTTCATAACATCAACAATTTATAGCTTAAAAATTGAAGCAAGTTCTCAAAACACGGTTATTTGTTCTTCAGACAAATTGGTCTTTATTAGAGGTCAGACGCAATCAAGTTCGATTCGTGCTAGAGAGAAAAATTGGGTATATAGCCCCTCGAGTTTACATGTATAAAATTATGGTATGGGAGGATTCGAACCCGTTCGATTGCTAGTTTGGCCGTTGTCACATACGTTAGGCCATAGTCCTGTTAGTGTACAAGCTTTTCACTCTTATTTACGTTCGCACTTTTTGTTTCGTCATATGCAGTTACTTTCGCTCACACAGTTCAGTTTTGCGTTGCAAAATCCTCCGCCCCAAATGCGGAAGAACTGGGGTGAGCTTAACGGTCGGTCGGGTAAGCTTGCTCGTGTCTGTCTTGATAAGAGCGGAATGTGCGCATCCGTCTTCACTGCAGTTAATCTTGACGACGCGGGCGATAATCTTGACCTCGCGGGAACTCGGGTTCAATCAACAAAACAAGATCACCGTTTTGAGAACAACGTCAGGTTGGGTGTTCGACTACGCACGCTTGTTAAGTAAAGAGGACACGTTTTCGTAGCCAACGAGACCATATGGCGTCAGTGTGCGACTGCGCTCGTAGGTACATTTTCTTGTAATCGAAGTATTCCCCAGGAGAGAGCGAAAGAAAGTTTGCGGCGCACTTCCCAAGCGAAAAGTGATTACAGGTTAAAGCTTCTAAATCCCGTGAATAGGTACTTACGTAGTGATCGGCCTTGCATTCAAAGTTTGCTCCACTAAGCAGAGTGTTGTTCCTAACACTTCTTCTGTCACCTGCCTACTGCCTAGTATATCGTGGAGTATGTTTAACTCTACCGACGAGGCGCTCCCAATAGCCACCATGATGTGGTGCACTGAAGAAATTGAAATTCCAGGTTATATCTTTATGCGCAAAGACGGGTGGAGCCATGTGCTTCCAGTTTTTGAAACAGGCAAGAAGTTCCTTTTCTGCAAAACAAAGTTGGCTCCGCCATCCGATCAAAAACTACTAGATGAACCTCAGCGCGCGGCAAAACGCTCGATGCACATCACACATGAGATGGTGTCTAGTGATGGCAC